GATTTTCAACCTTCCCGGGTGGGTTTCTGTGTCGAGTATCTTGGTATTCGCATCAAGTATGGCTCGCGTGAGGTTCGTACGGTGCGCATTAAACATATGATCCTTAATGCCACCGTCCTGTACATGTAAGGTGAGTTTGCGGGCGAACAAACAAACCAATAGATTCGACCACACTCTCCAGCTATTCTCCCAATATAGTGATTCGACGCCGACGTTCCCCGTCAGAAACGATCCACAGCAGGTGACGGTACCACAACGATACGAATATCGTTTCCACAATCGACAAACTCCAACCTGCCAATACGCAGTTTGTCACTAATCGTCGTAAATCCTACGTCATCGCGTCATTCACTACCTTATGTGATAATTAATATCCATGCCTCGCTTCATTTACAATTGATAATTAACATCACTTACATTACTATTCCACCTATTCACACATTAGCATAATATATTTATTCAAATACACTCGTACCATCCCACCACTCCACACACGTTTCGTTGCCATTCCAAATTTGCAATATCGATATTCGTACTTCTACCTTCACTTCCAGTATTTAACTTTTGAAATTCATTTAACATATTTCGTATATTGTATATTTTATTATCAGTTATCTTAACATTTGATTTATTTTATTGGCAAGTTAAGTATCTTTACTCAAATTTCGTATACTTTTTACATTAATTTTAATTTAATTTCCTTAATCATTTTACGCTTATATTTTCCCAATTTGGTTCGTTTATTCTTCTTGATTTTACAATTTTAAATATTCACTTCATATTTAATAATTTAAACGTAGGCTCTGATGATGACATACACTGTCGAAACGACGTCTTCAGCCGTTCGAAATGCTTGACGAGTTTAATAAAATTGAGTTACAACAATTGCGTCTTATTGAACAAACCCAAAAGAAATTAATTAATACAAAATGGGCAAGAACATTCAACCAAATTTGTTATATATATATACCTCGTGCCAAACTACATATATATATATATATATATATATATATATATATATATATATATATATATATATATATATATAGGTTCTATAAATTCGGTAGAATTTATAGAACCTATATATATATATTCGGTAGAATTTATAGAATATTGTAAAAAAAAAAAATTATGGTCTATTACCAACATATATATAGGTGTATATATTAGTTAGTTATTTTTTAAACCGTAGAACATTAGTTATTATGCTTATGATTCAGTTTGGGTAAATTTTGGTGGGTTCAATAATTGTATTTAATATATTTTTAAATTAATTACATTTTTACATTCCTTTATTTTCAAAATCCACTCAATTGTTATAATTTGGCATTCATGTTAGTACGTTAGAGTTGTTAAATTTTTTTTATAAAAAATTGATATATGTTGAAAACAATCAGATGATTATAAACAGGAAACGGTCATTGTGAAGTGGACAAGGCTCGTCGCAACTGGTGCCCTAGGTGTCGTCTTATCAAATGTCTGCAGGTCAACATGAACAAAGATGGTAAATTTATCGCAGAATTTATATCTTTGTTTTATAAATACGAAATAGATTGTGCTTTCATTTCTTCCTAACAAACACGCAAATCACTTATTCCTTGATTTATCCCAGAAAGAATGTTTTGATCTTACTTCCAAAATTTGGTTCAATTATGAAGTCATTATTCCAATATTGGAGTTTGTAAAAAGATATTAAATCTTTTTAATCGCAGCTGTTCAACAAGAACGAGGCCCCAGAAAAAACAAAGGCACTCGCAAAAACACTCGAACATCTGGCATCCATCAATGCGAAAAATTGATTGGGACGAGAAAAAATGAAACACCCCGGAGCCCATCTACTCCAAATGTACATTGTACACAAATAACGTCGACAACTCACAACTTGGAATTTGAAGGAAAAGCAGCATCCGAACCAGACTACCTTCCATTCATTCTAATGCTTCCACATTTCCAGCAAGTTTCAGCACAACATTTGTTGTCTTTTATGCCACCATACCGTCATCTGTTTGTTGATTTTAAAAGTACAATTGGATGCAAATCTGTATCGTCAAAAATATTTCGTCCTTGGTGCTACTAAATTGATTTGGAAAACAAATCTTTTTAAATTTATGTGGGCTTGTATAAATGCGAATTAGATGACATATCCGCAAAATACTGAGTAGTATACGCCGAGATTATTTCATTAAATTCGTTTGTGGTTAGTTTTATTATATCATGGTTAAAAATTGCGGCATTTTTTTTGAAAAAAACAAAAAAAATTATGCTTGACTGAATTGTTTGGACTTCGTTTGAACTCGATGATATGCTACATCTTTCTTTTAATATTACTGATTCTTGTCTATCTTGGTTTTCTTCTTATCTCTGTAATCGTTTTTCTTCTGTTGTTCTCAATAATTCTACTTCTAACTCCTCTACTCTTACTTTCGGGGTACCTCAGGTTTCTATCCTTGGCCCTCTTCTATTTATACTCTATACTTCTGAACTACCTTGTATTATTAATAACTTTTCTTCCTCTAGTCAACTATATACTGATGATTCTTACATTTATACTTCTTTTCCTCTATCTAATCTCAATAGTGTTCTACATAATCTATCTCTATGTCCTTCTTCAATTATCGCTTGGTTTGACTCTGTGTCTTAAACTTAATCCTTCTAAGTTTGAATTAAATTGTTTTAATAAATCTAAACACTTTATTACTATTCCTCCTATTATCTTACCTGGTTCTAAAACTTTTGATGTCTCTCATAAGTTTCGTAGTCTACGTTTTATCAAAATTGTTTTAAAAAATAGAAATTTCTACATGTTTTTGTAAAGTTGTTGATATCTAACGTAAAAAAACTTACTGCCAAAGAGACGTGGGGAGGCTGTACATTGTACAACTAACAGCGTTTAATCGCTTTTTAGTGCAAACCTCGTTAACCTAAAAATACCAGTTAAACAGAAGAATTCACAACATTTCGACCAACATGCAACAAATACTTGAAGATCCAATTAGCATTCAAAACACAATAAAACACTTAACAGATTTAAATCTTATTTATACCCAGGTATAAAATCAGAAAGGGGTGAAGATAGCCCATTTGTGCTGAAACGCCGAAAATTGGCAACAAACAAACAAACAAATTCTATTGTTCAAATAAATTTTATTGTACAAATAAATTCTAAATGTCCCGTCCATTATTTATTTTATTCTTATTCAGTTTAATTTTACTTTTAAAAATAAACAGAAGCTGTTTACGGTACGATATCGTCGAATGGATAATTACATACACAATAATATAGATAATATATACACGGCATGGCAGTGTTGCACGTTTCAATCAATCAGCCAATCAATCAATCAATCAATCAAATCAGCTTTTAAAACGCTATTTCCGCTATTTCAACAGCGCTCCTCAATGAATTTTCGAAACAGATGGGTCTTGAGATCCGCTCTGAACTTCGTAAGTGATGGAGAAGTAGTCAGAGAAGTAGGTAAAAAGTTCCAGAGAAAAGGGCCAGAAAAAGCAAAAACAAATTTGGCAAAAGAGTGTTCGACACGAGTTAAGAAGCGAGAACAAGAAGACGATCATAAACCAGGGCGTTTAGAGGTTTCAAGTAATTTTAATATATCTGATAAGTACTTAGGAAATAATTTAGTTAGATTGAAACTTATACATAAATGTGCAAATTTTAAAAATTATTCTATATTTTATAGGTAGCGAATGCAAGAGAACAAGATATGGAGAATGGAGATATATAAGAAAAGAAAGGGGCAAGAGCAACTAGACGAGCAGCAGAGTTAAAAGCTTTTCTTAAAGGATAGAGTATAGAATCAGAAAGACCATAATAGAGCGAGTTACAATAATCAATCCTAGATAAGACTAACTAAGTAACAAGAAGGAGAAGAGTAGGGTCATAAAGAAAACGCAAAAAGTTTTTTTATTCTACGTAGATGAAAGTAAGAGCTTCTAGCAACACTATTAATCTGAGAAGAGAGAGACATAGTAGAATCAAAGATAAAACCTAGACTACGAAACTTAGAGAGACATCAAAAGTTTTAGAATCAGGTAAGATAATAGGAAGAATAGTAATAGAGTGTTTAGATTCATCAAAAGAAATTAGTTTAAACTTAGAAGGATTAAGTTTAAGACACATAAGGTCAGACCAAGCGATAATTGACGAAAGACATAGAGATAGATCATGAAGAACACTATTGAGATTAGATGGAGAAAAAGAAATATAAATATAAGAATCATCAGCATATAGTTGACTAGAGAAAAAAGTTTATAATACGAGGTAGTTCAGAGGTATAGAGTATAAATAGAAGAGAGCCAAGGATAGAACCCTGAGGTACCCCGAAAGTAAGAGCAGAGGAGTTAGAAGTAGAATTATTGAGAATAACAGAGGAAAAACAATTACATAGATAAGAAGAAAACCAAGGTAGACAAGAATCAGTAATATTAAAAGAAAGATCTAGCAGCCTCAAGAAAATTAGTATGATGAACAGTATTAAAAGCAGAGGAAAAATCAAGAGCAAGAAGAAGAGTAAGATTACTATTGTCACTAGAGAAAAGGATATCATTATATATTTTCGGTAAAGAAGTTTCAGTAATATTAAAAGAAAGATCTAGCAGCCTCAAGAAAATTAGTATGATGAACAGTATCAAAAGCAGAGGAAAAATCAAGAGCAAGAAGAAGAGTAAGATTACTATTGTCACTAGAGAAAAGGATATCATTATGTATTTTCGGTAAAGAAGTTTCAGTACTGTGAGCAGGTCTTAAATCAGATTGAGATTTAGGTAGCAAGGGGTTAGAGTTTAAATAGGATTGATAAAAAACTACTTTTTCAATTATTTTAAAAATGAAAGTAATATTAGTAACAGGTCTATAATTAGATAAAGAGGTAGGATCTAAGGATGAGTTTTTAAGAAATTTTTAGAATTCTTATAAGTAGGAAATTTGGAGGTGGAAAGAGATAAATACTAAAACTATATACTTCATGTACATAAAAAATTAAAAAGTAACAAAAACCTGTATGTTCTGGATGGTAGTGTTCATTCAATGCCTTCGTTTTTTTTGAAATTTTTTGAAATAGATATAATTATATAATATATATGTATAAGTTATTATAATATAAATAATTATTATTATAAATAATAAGTAATTTAGTTAGTATTTTCAATTAATTTATTTATTTAATAATCATTAAAAATTGAAAATACTAACTAAATTATTTATTAAATTATTAATTTGATTTTGGTTGGCATGTAATTGTAATGTAATGTGAACATTTCAATATAAATAAATAATTTAATTTATCAATTAAAATATATATATATATATATTAAATAAATCAAGAACCAAGGTCAAGATAATTCAAGACATAGTTATTTATAGATTGATTGAGTTGAGTTAAGCAAATTAAGATCAGTTGTTTTGAGTAATTTAGAGATCAGTCACACTATAGTGTTAGGCTTAACCTTAGTCTACCTACCATGGCGGATCTAGTGTTGCTGGAGAGGCCATTATTTGTAATAAAAGTGGTTGTTTTAAAAGTTGGCCTTTTTGCCCCTTAGTTATTGACAAATATTTTTGAAAATCCTGGCTTCCGCATCAAAGTTGTCTAGATCCGCCACTGCCTACCTACATCTATAATTTTTATAAGATAAGAATTGAAATTAAAACATTTTTAAGGTGAGGATCAGTCAAAGCCGTCGTCATGCTTCTCTGCAGGTCATTTGACATCTACAGATCAAGAACTACTTCTCATTCCACAAAACATTTTATTTTGTCACTCAATGCTGCAATATGCAACAAATATGCCTGGTTATCAACAGTTCTGCAGCCAAACAAACAAACTGGCCCGCCAGAAAATGTTAGAAAGTCATTGAAATATCAGATCGTATACAGATTCACACACATCACCAAGTTACGCCTTCTATCAAGAATGAAAATCTACCAAACTGTTTTTACAGCAGCCATGATTCCCACATCCTGGTACATGAATTTACATGGCTTGACTGATGTAAGCTCATGTTACTTTGCTGTTTCAGTCTCAACGTTTGCTATGTTCATGCTTTATTTAATGAGCACTACAATCCAGAAATTTATTGGCTTAGTGGGTTTCAATGAAGAACATTCCATGGTCAGGTTGTCTCATCTAACATTCTGGGGTAGAAGAAATGACATCTACTTAGATGTGAATGACATTGTGCCATTTTCAGATATTGGTGAAACAAGAAATGAATTTTATTTGAAAGTAAAAAGATACAGTGATCCAAAATTCACGCTGTATTTAATTACAAAATTTTCCAATATCGAAAATGAACATGCTTTTATAAAAATATTTGGATAATAAAAATTTTTTTTGAATTTTAAAGTAGTTTAAAATGTGATTCTTAGAACAATTCTTCATTTAATAATATTTTACTATTAAATCAAAAAAATATCAGTTACAATAAAAATAATTCTAGACTTTCATTTTTCGATAAAATAATACAAAAATTTATCTGAAGATGATTATGCGATAATAAGCCACTAAAAGTTTAATACGCAAGAAATAATGCAATGAATTAGAAATAATTAGCTATGCAAGCCCTAGTTTTTTTAAATCTTTAACCAGTTCTTCAACACTTTCAACTTTGTGGCCAGACTTCCTGACTGGTGGATCTTCTACAGAGACCACTTCTTGTCGGGCTGTGAGGTCAACGCCAAGGCTACTTGCTAGCAACTTAACCAAAGGCTTCTTCTTAGCTTTCTGTTGAAGAACAAAGAACAAAATTGAAAATATTTTCATATAGAATCTAACATTTAAAAACAGGCATTAGACATTCGTTTATAAACTATTAAAAAACTAAATAAACTAAACAAAAACTTAGGCGACATACAAACCAGAAAGTTAAAAATTTTTAAAACAAAACAAAGGTTTATCAAGATCACTATATCAAAATGGTTTGTCAAAATTTGCCTGAAGCACTTAACACAAACCATAATATTAGGTAAAGTTGCGTATCTTGGCTCATTCAGTCGAAGATCAGCTGTCACAACTGCAGGTAGTTTCACCTGCATTAGTTGCATGTAGATTATGTAATTGAATAAATTCATGTCAATAATCCTATTCAACAATGGCACAATATAATTTAATAAAAAACAATGCATGTCACAACCGACAATATGATATGTATCATTTATGTTTCATAACCAACCTTGATAGTTTCAAGACCTCCATCTACCTCTCGCCTGACCAATGCAAAATTCTTTTCTATGTCTAACTTCGATGCAAAAGTTGCCTGAAAAAAGTTATCTCTCACCATTCGTCAATGCCATCAAAACTATCACTGCTAATAAAACTATCGTCATAGCCGCTATTGAAATGAAGCAATGCATTGTTGTATGCATCTGCCAAGGTGATCACAAATCAACCTTTTTCAAAAAACATAAAAATGCAGTTATCTGTAATAATTCCACTATCATGTGGAACCACCAATTCAAATTGATGAAATCATAGTTACGAGTCGTCGGCGATTTATCTATTTGACTGAACACAACAACGTTATTTCGCAAAAAATCTAGTAATATTGTTATAATATGTTAGTTATATTATTTACAAACAATTTATTGGCAATGAATAAGAAACACTGAACTGGCAACCTGAGGCCACAACAATTGTGCAGCAGTCATCTGTGCAGTCTGGTTGCAATCATCATCAATGGCCTGCAATTGATGACCACACGAGAGGTGAGCATAATATCAGAACATCGAAGCATAAAAACACGCAACAGGTAACGTGACAACATCTATGGTAACATATATGATCAATGCACATGAAATAACATAAAAGCACATGACTCGAGTGTGCTTAGCATAAAGTAAATTTTGTCCATTGATGTTTTGCCATAACGAGAAGAAACATGTAACATTATAAGTTAATCGTGTACTTTAATTTATTATTCTCATTGCACTCCACCTAGTATATAATTTTTGAGACAATTAAACAAATAACTAGTTACCACCTAGCATGTTTAATTTTAATAAATTATATATACCAATGTTAAAACATTCCATATAACAAGGACATTATTTGTATAATTTTTTCAAACAGAATATAAATATTTATTGAGGAAGTTTTTGCTTGTTCCTGTGAAGCGAAAATTGGACAATAATCTGTCACAAATCATTAGGTGAATGGTACCCGACCACGGGCCGCCATAAAAAGCTCAGAGTTGGACGCAAATTATCGAGAAGCTTGGAGACAGAAGTTGATGTCAGGAATACTAAAGTCCAACCCGAAACGGAAAAGGACTGTAAGCGAGGATTGATATTAAAGAAGTTTTTATTTGCATAATTCAACAAGATGGCATGACTCAAAAGACAAGGCCTCATAAAATTGTCAAATGGTTACAGCTATGAACATATACAAACTAAAGTTTAACAGTTTTAAATAACAGCACCCAATTAAATCTTCAAGTTTTTTCATAAAAGCTCCATACACAAACCTGTAAACATGGTTCCACATTTTAGTATATTTGACAGTAAATTTAACTGTACGCATTTTGAAAATTGTTGAATAAAATCTGATAACTGAACATAATTGAAAATAACTTTAGCCGCATTTGTCATCAAAATTTTGTCCATTTATGTTTAATCGTAACGAGAAGAAACATGTAACATTATAAGTTAATCATGTATTTTAATCATTTTCATTCCCATTAAACTCTACTCTACATAGTATATAATTTTTGAGACCTTAAACAAATGACTATAGATACAGAAAATTTATTTACTAAGAAGCCAAAATTAACAAGTTTGAAATGGTCACAAAAAAAATTAACTTTAAAAAGAAAAGGTATAAAATATGTAAAAATTTTGTTTGAACAAATATTTATAATATGCTTCTGCATATTACTATAAAAGTTTTTAATACATACAATTTTTGAAAAATGTTACTTGAAGATTTATCTGAACCAATTGCATTTTACGTGATTTAATGCATTTTTTGAGTTTGCAACATTTGATTTTTCATTTTACCCCTCAATAGGATTTAAAAATCAATTTATTTAACATTTAGTTGAATGAATTTATGTATCAGAAACGAACAAGCTCAACTTTTCATTTCAATCAAGGGTCATGAAGTAGTCAAAAATTTGACAACAAACTTCCGCCACAACCAAATGCAATCCACCAAACTGAAAAATATTTATCCAGATCAGAAGCATTTTGGTAACACTGTATACCGATTATTTTAGACCATCATGCATAACAAATTAAAAAACTCAGAACCGTCACACTGCAAAAATTGTTCTTATCATTTAACAATTAAATAACGATGGTATAAAAAAAATGTTAAATAAAATAGTAACCTGTTTTCCCAATAATAAAAGATCAATGTTCTCTTTTTTGACAACTGCAGCAATGATTTTAGATATTTGGAATGGCTGGAGAGCATCATACTCCTTCGAAGGAATTTCCACATGGATTGCTTTATCAGCTCCCATGGCCAGGGCCGTTCGCAGAGTTTCCTACAGTAATAACACATTATTTGAAATGCTTTTTCATTCACATAGCAAAAACTCAGTTGATATTGTATTATAATGGTGGCATTATATTTAATTAATAAATAACACAATAAATATTAAGGAATAAAACCAATAAATATTTTTAACAACTGACACACACAATTTTTCTTAAATATTCATTATCAATCAATCAATTAATGATCCTCCTTTGTCCATCAGGGGACCGTCGAGGTCGATGGTGTACATCTAAGCTTGCTTTTAACATTTTTTTTTCTTTCCAAAAACCTTTTCTATTTTTGGCCAATTTTATTGAATTCAGAATACCAACATCAGTCCATTCAGAAATGTCATCTATTCATTCTTTGCAGATCTACCAACTATTCTCTTCCAATCTCTTTTCCGCATTAGTACCATCTTAATCAATCTGTCTTCCCTCATTCTACAAATGTGTCCAAAAAATCCCAATTTTCTTTCTATGACTTTGTCATATACACTTTTCTGTCTTCCATGTTGATTTCTGATGGCCTCGTTCTTTACTTTCTGCCTCCAACTGATTCCCAACAAATTTCGGTAACACTTCATCTCAAATGCTTCCAATCTGTCTTTGTCTCTTTTCTCTATTGTCCATTTCTCGGAAAAACGCAAGATTCTATCATTCTTAACTTTGTTTTTATAGATACATTTCCACTTTTCCATATTTCCTTCATTGATGCGAACATTCCGATGGCTTTTGCTATCCTTCTGTCAATTTCTTTTGTGCAATTGTTGTCACAGGTTATAAGACTGCCAAGATACACAAACTGGTCTACTTGTTCAAGTTTATCTGATTCTATCTGAAATTCTTCATTGTTTCTGCCTTTCCCCGTGATCATCACCTTTGTTTTGTCTTTGTTGAGATGCAACCCGTGATCTTTGACCTTTTCCAGTCGTTCTTTTATGATAGTCAGCATGATCTTGCATATGTGCGGAATTAGTGCAATTGATCTGTAATTATTACAGTCTTTTTGGTCTCTCTTTTTCGGCAGCATAACCAGAACTGACTTGCACCATTCTTCTGGCTCCTTTCCACTTTTCCAAATTTTTTGACAGATTGTGTAAATTTCTTTACACACGACTTGTCCTCCTGCTCTTATCAGTTCTAACGGAATACCATCCTTCCCTGTACTTTTGTTGTTCTTCATTATACTTATTGCTCTTGTAATTCCTTCCTTCGTTATATGACTTTTTTCTTCATTGATTATTTTTCTGATTTTCAAAATTTCAAGCGTTTTTTTTGTATGGGTCCTTGTCTATGAACAAGTCTTTAATATATTCAGTCCATCTATAGTTAATCTTTTCACTTTCTGTTAGGATGTTTCCGTTTCTATCTGTAATAATCCTTGACGTATATTTCTGTTTCACATTTAGCTGCTTAACCAGCTCGTACGCCTCTCTTGTCTTGTTTTGCCCAATCATCGTCTCTACCTTTTCACATTTACAATTAATCCATCTCCTTTTATCTGCTCTAGCACTCTATTTTATTTTTTGGCAGACTTCTTTGTATTTCATCTTATTTTCTTCACTCTGTCTTTTTGTCATTTTCAAACTTCTTTTTTCTACAAGGTTCCATGTTTCATCGCTTATCCACAGTTTTATTTTGTTTGTTTTAATTTTACAACTTTTACCTGCTGCTTTGAGAATTTTTTCCAGATTGCTAACTCTTGTTTTCATTTATAGATAGTTGTAAAAATTCATTTTTCAAGTAAAAAAAAATTTAGAAGCATACAATTACACAGAACATCAAATAAAAACTAACTACATATAAAATGAGTCATAGTAAAGAATAAAAGCAAACTGCATCCCTTGGTCATCAGAATTTTAAAAAATATACCCTATGAGAAGACAAAGAGAACCTGACACTGAGATGGTCCACAAGAAAGTGCAATAATTTCTCCTGCTACTTTCTTTTCCTTCAACCGTATTGCTTCTTCTACTGCAATTTCATCAAATGGATTCATGCTGTGCTTTACCCCTTCGGTCACAACACCTGTTTTATCTGGCTTGACTCTAATCTAATACAAGTAAAAAATTTGAAATAATTGCTATATTTAATTTGCTCAATTAACTGACAAATGTATTTACTTTTACAGCGTAATCAATCACTCTTTTGCATCCTACAAGAATTCTCAATGACATTGTGGACTTGATATTTGTTCAGTTTGTTGCTTGTATATTTAAGTTCTTCTGGTCCAGACAGCCTATGCTAAAACAAAAATGTCAATTAATTAAAATTTGACACCCAATATCTTTAAAAACTAATTCAACAGCAGTAAACATTCAATTTTAGTATGGGTCTTTCCTCAGTGATAATATAAAAAATATGTGTAAATCTAGAGTTTAAAATAAAAGAACTAAAAAAACAAGGAAAAAAACATGTAGAGTTTACTTCATAAAAATAATTGCAAAGTAACGTAGACCAATAAATAAGAGACCTCAATTTTTTTTTTCAGATGCACTTTCATTCATAAAATTAGTTATTAGCAAAAAATTTTTTCACTTTGATATTTTAAATCTATTTATCCTAACTGTAGAGTTAAATGTAACAATATAAAATTAACAGTAATAATAATAACAATAATTATATAAACCAGACACAATCAAACGGAACTTTAGCTCAGTTATAGCTGTGTGAGTCACTGAGCAGCTTAAACATTGTCCGATAAGCAACAAACTGGTATATAAATTCATAAATGCATGTTATAGTTATTGATGGAGACTGAACACGGGTGCATACATAATGTATAAAGAAGATGAGACACTAGACGCCAGTTTTTAAGTTTGGTTCCGATTTTAGACGCCGTTGAACAATTTAATATCGTCCGATATAAATTGTACATCATAGATGGGTGCAGTGTGAGCAGTTTTTAAATAAAAAACAAAAAAAACCGTTTTATGTGTAAAATCCACTAAAAATTGAATGTGATAAGCAAAAAAAGTCGACAGCCACACTACCACAAATCTTAGCCCCCCCCTTCCCATAAAAATTTTGGCCTCCCCGGGAAAATTTAAACATTTTAAAACTTTTAGCTCCCCCCGTCAAAGTTGTCTAGACCGCCACTTGACGCCAAAGTGAAGTAGGCGAAGACTATTTATACTCCATCAGCTGCAATAAAGAACAACAGGTTAGCAGGCTGCAGGAACTGATTGAAACGGATTATTATTATTAGTCATTATTACAATAGTTTTGTCTGTCAAAATAAAGAAAGGTGTTAGCCAAAGGTTGTGTATTATCTCCAGACCTGTACAATTTCTATAGTGAGATCATAATGAGAAAGATAGAAGATCTATCGGGAATATCCATTGGAGGCGTGAATATAAACAATCTAAGATATGCTGATGATGATAAAGCTATTATTGCACTATTGCAGATTCAATGGAAAAATTGCAAACAATTGTTTCCAAACTGGTTTTTGAAATTGAAAAGAAAAGAAGCTTGCAAATTAACATCAACAAAACGGAGTGCATGGCAATCAGTAAAAGCAAAACCGCCCCGATCTGCTTCATAATCATTAATGGTAAACAGGTGAAACAAGTCAACAGCTTCAATTATCTCAGAAGTCTAATTACCTCAGGTTGTGAATGTGATAAAAATATCAAAGGAAAGAAATCTATGCAAAAGATGCATATTCTAAAATGAAAAACAACCTCACCAACAGTAAAATCAGAATATCAACAATATTAAAACTGTTAGAGAGTTACATTGATTCTGTGCTAACTTACGGCTCTAAGTCCTGGACAATTTCTAAAGAAATGGAAAAAAGGATTAACGCGGCTAAGATGTGGTTTTTGAAAAAAATTATGAAAATTAGTTGGACCTCTTATACTTTGAATGAGGATGTATTAAAACAGTCCGGTTATGAAAAGAAAAAATTACTACAAATAATCCGACGGTGGCAGTTAAGTTTTTTGGTCACATCATGCGGAAGGAAAGAATGGAAAACTATTGGAAAGATTGCAGGGAAAAGTGATCGTGGTAAACAACGAATAACATTCGTGAAGTCCTTGTGTCACTTGTTGAATGTCACCACATTTCAACTACTACAAAGTGTTAAAGATCGGATTTTGTGGATGTCGATGGTCGCCAATGACCTGAAAGGATAAGGCAAGAAAAAAAATGAAGAACTGACTGCACATTGTTTAACAGTCTTTACAGGCATATTCAGACTGGAGTCTCAGATTGAAGATACAGCAACATTCAGTGGCGGATTAGACACGCTGACTGAGAGCCAAAATTTGAAAATAATGAAACTTTTGGAAATTTGATGGAGGCCAAGAAATTTAACAAATGTTCGCTAGTGTGGCCTAAAGTGTTTTACTGACTTTTACCATGGCTCCCACTGGCAACAGTGGTACTATGCAGGTACAGTAGCAAAGAGATCTGCAAGTTCAGCAACAGTTTAGGTTGCAGATCAACAGGTTACAGGCTCAGACAATAGAAAAGCATCATCGATGAAGTTGTAATAGAGATTCATCAATTCGAGATTCATCAGTTTGAGATATATCAGTTTGAGATACATCATTTCCATCAACCGTACATCCCATTCAATTATTTAAACTATAAATATTAATTAAATAATAACGTTTGATAATAAAAGTGATGAGAACTCTCTTATTTTCAAAGGCTAGGTAATAAATGATTTAAAAAATGAAATGTTAAAATAATGCAATTATAATAACGATATTAAAAACAATAACAATATTAAATATGTAAAAATTATTGTTTGAATGTTAACATTTGAATTGACAAGTATTTCTTTGAGAAAACATTTGTATAATTTTATTTTTGCCTACAAAAATTCACACAATTGAAATGAATCATGATTAAAGGTACTCAATCAACTAATCAAAAAGAAAAAAAACAGCAGCAAATAAAATCTCAAAAAGAATGCATCCTCTAAAAATAAACACAGTTAATTTTCAATATAAATTTATTTTATATTTTGTACATCCAGATGCATTAACCTGTAGTTATTATTATTATTACGTTAAACAAAGGCGAAGACGAAACGTTCCAGTGCTTTCTCAAAACTAAGACAATTTTAAAATAATAAATTAAATAAACCTATGAGTCTATACTGAATAAATTTAAAACAATTAATGTTCTTATAAGTCAAATAATGTATTAAACCTTGTAAAATAAAAAAAAAGATAATAATAAAAAAACAAATATAAACAAATAAATCACAGATCCTAATCAATAAATTGACGATAATATCGATACATACTGATAAAAAAAAATTGAATATATCCCTATCTCACAAATAGCCAATGTCACATCAAGTATCATTTGCCCTCCAATCATACATAAATCTGGCATTCATAAGAAGTGTAGTGTTCTAAAAATATTAATGAATAATAAATAACAATAGAAACTTTAAAAAATCACTTAGTAAATATATTTTTAATAAAATATAACTCTGACAATCAAACTTTTATCATAAAAACTTCACATAAAATTTTAATATAGTGATTGAGCTAAAATATTTTAATGAAATTAACATTAACTGAGAAAAACTTGCATTTAACTAATTATAAAAAAAATGCATTGTCTCTGATTATCATTAATATATGAAAAAAAATATTTGAAATAAACTGAAATAAAATAAAGTGGATGAAATAAACAAATAAAAATTATATATATGTACTAATAGTATGTACAAAAGAGAACATGGTTTTTTGTCAACATTTTCATTTTATTTATAACATATAAATATACACATATGCTTACAATTATTAACCCAAACCCCAGTCCAAGCCTATAAAAAACAATGCAGTCAAGAGATTGAAACTATACTAGCATTTTTATTTGATTTTGACATTTATTTTATTCGATGTCAAATAGAAGGCCAATGCTAATGTTTGCACAAACTACTACATTTTATTTAAGATGGTTGTAACAATTATTTAGGGACACACTTTCTTGAATTTTATTTATGAATAAGTTTAAGTACCAATAGTTATTAAAACAGGATTATCAATATCAATCCTGTTATAAGCATATGCTATCACTTATACCAAGACTGAGAGTGCTAGGTTAGTTAGGGAATGTTAACTTAACTAATGATAATAAATAAATATTAAATAAGATTAACATTAAAACAAGTAGTTATTAATTAATTATATTTATATTTTTATAACAATAGCTAACGTGATGGATTCCAGCCCAAGCCAATGTTCATCGGATATTAACTATTTTAAAAAAATGTTGTTAAGAAAGTAGAATTTGGTTGGAATATTACTTGTCTCTAGCTAAACGTCAGCAAACATCCGTTAAACAAACATTCCCTAACTAACCTAGCACCTAACCCTGACACTAACCAACCCACAATTATTACTAAATATCCATATAAATTTAAAATTATTTAATATTTCAAAAAAATATTTTATTTACTATACTTTTTAGTTTTTAAAAGAAGCTTATAAAAGTAAACGTTTGCTGACGAACGTTTGCTAGCATTTCCGAAGTGGGATATTTGTTTCATCGGCATTATGCGCACGTAACACAACATCGAAAAATACAAGTCTTATTGTGGTTGATTGAATTGATCAAATTATTAAATATAAAAATATTTTTTATAGTAATGATCATATATAATAATAATAGATTTGGACTTGGTGGAGGACAAAGTAGTAAATGTAAACTCTTAAAGTGAGTCGTAAAGAATAAAGATCACGGTTTATTACGCTTATGTTTTCCTCATGAATTGAAGTTACGTTTTATTTATATATTTATTTTTATATTAATATTACAATTAACAAAATTCTTACTTCTTGAACTGGACTTTAAAAGCTACAGCAAGTCGAACCTCCCAGCCGACACGAAGGTAATGTTCGCGACGGTTTTGGTGTATCTAAAAGGCGGAACCAATATTGTCAAATTGGCTGAACAGTACAAAGGTAATGTTCGCGACGGTTTTGGTGCATCTAACTGGCGGAACCAATATTGTCAAATTGGCTGAACAGTTTGAACTAATATATTTTTGTTTAATAATATTACACGGAATAATTAAAAATTTAATTTTATTATATAAGCATCTGCGTCTCGTTCATTTTTGGAAACGATACGATATCGGCTACGATGAAGCGTATCTAACAGGCGGACTCAATCATGTCAAATCGGCTGAACGGTTTGATCTAATAAATTTTCGTTTAATGAAAATACACGGAATTATTAAAAATTAATTTTATTACATAAGAATTTGCTCCTCGTTATTATTTTGAAAACGATACATAACGATACGATAACAATACGATAACGAGGTATTGAAGACTATATATTGATATAATAAAATCATGTGCACAAGTATGTGCTCAAATTGTATGATGATTTTTGAGTTTTTGAAAGATAGTATTTGAACATCGCGCAATAACAATGACGCTTCGCACATTTACAGTCTGCCCTTAGTTGTTTTCCCCCCAACTCCGCTTTACAAAATGTACTGTATTAAAACAGAAAAAAGCTAAACGTCAATTACACTCTTCCAAAGTTCAGAGGATTCAACAGAGTGCAAAACATCGTAAATGACCATCGTGCTAAACGACGCATTACACACGAAGCATATGATACGCGGGGATATTTTTGTCACATTCGAACCCGGTTACTGCGAAACAGCACCAGGCGACCTTAACCATTAGACTATCACGCCGCCCAGTCATTTCGCCCAGAAAACAGCCATTCAATTGAAAAAAAGTATTTTTTATTTGATACGAGAATTTTTGGAGAATGTCTCGTTTTAATAACGATACGATATTTTTAGTCTTTATTAAACCAAAGTCATTCAATTGGAAAAAATTAAATAAGTTTTATATTTTATAACACTTTATTTTTTTACAATGTGCACTTTTACCATTTCCACACATTGAAATAATGGTACGAGACGAAAATTGTGTCTTTTATTTTTTATTTCGATATGATAGACTTTCCTAAAAATGTCTTGTTTAAATAACGATAGGAGATTTCTGGTATTGTTATTAAAGGATACGAGATTTTTCGTATCGTTTTATAACAATACGAAATATTTTTTACCGTTATTATTTTTAAATCTCTGTCGATTGGTAACGAAAATAACGGTTCGAGACGCAGGTGCATAGTATAAGATTCTATATATTATTTTGTTGACATCATAATACAATTTAAAAATTGTACAGTATATTATCGAATATTTTAAAACTGTGTTACACTTTGATTTATAAATTAATTTTAATGAACTCGGTGAATTAAACAGGAACTGCAAAGAAGTATTGAACTTAATTATGGAAGTTTTTGGTCCTTGTTATTATCTCGCAAACAACCTAAGTGCACCACAGTTTTGAAGTTTCCTGTATCTGTTGTGTTACAACGTCATTCCAGCTTTTGCTTGTAGTATAGTTTATAATTTGATTAACACAAAATGGCAATACCAGAATAGTACTTTTTGGACTTTTTTAAATTTTAGATGTTTTTCAGATTATGTTTTGAAACGGAATAAAATTTTAAAAAATACTTTTAAAATTATCCTGCATGTTTAAACTCTAGTGTTACTTTCAAAAGAAATGTTCATGTTTTAATTCTCGTGTTTTAATTCGCGGCATTCTTTTTTTTCTTAAACGAGTTATTTGCTACAAATTTTTGTACCATATCCCTGTTTTTTGTTAGCTTCTCTAAAAAGAATTACATTTATACTAATATAAATTGTTTTAATTTCACACGTAGTGGTAGTTGATGACTCAACTTCCTTCATTGTTTTTTGGCCCAAGGTGACATAAAAATTACATCTCCAAACGGACCGGATTAGCGTCGATCCAGATGTTTATGTTTCGGCATTAAATACCGTCAGTGAAACAGCACGTTCAATCCAGGACGTTGCTCGTCAATAGTTTTATTTTTCTGATGCTGCGTCACATCAGAATTTGTCAAATGGAGGCATTTGTCCATTGTTAACAGCTCAACGTAATCGACAAATTTTTAATGTTATTTTGGAACAGGAAATAGCGAAAGAGTAGTCCTGTTATTTCAAATCAGTTAAACCTGAAAACGGCGAAACCAAGTATTCATTTGTCATAACTATGGCGTGATGGCTCAATGGTTAAAGGCGCCTGGTTTTGCTATTGCATTGACTGGGTTCGAATACAAAGAGATCCCCGCCTATCATATGCAATGTGTATGATACGTGGTTTGCACGCGTATTCATATACACTGTGTGTTTGTTGTTGAAACCTTTGAAGCAAACGCAAAAAAGAGAGAAACCTTTAACCTTTATGGTAAATATTTAATAACTTTCTTTTTTGTTGTAATGATATTTGATGCTAATAACATTCAACCCCAACCTGTGTATCAATCAACTTCGATATTGAGGTTTGTTTATGACATTTGTTTGTTACATTTTGAAACCGCAATTTTTTTTAACGTTAAATAAAAAAAGTTATAAATGTTTTAGTAAGGGAGTAATTAAGTCATACCACACACACAAACACATTTATATAAAAAAATGGATATATAGGTACATATATAATATATATATACAAAGATATATTAAACAACAATGCATACTTTTTTATAAACTTTTTATTACAAATAAAAACGTTAAAAATTTATTTCGTGCACTTTAGAGAATAAATGATGTTTTTCTTAAAGTTCATCATTCCACGTTCATTTAGGTGGATGCCGTCAGGTCCTATATTATTACCTCCTCCCACTCTGTCAAGCTTCCAGAAATGAACAATGTTAGAATGGAATTGTTTCAATGAAACATTTAGTTTATCAACTTTCCATTTCTGAACGTCTTTTCTATAAACCAGGCTTAATATGATTATTCGGCGCGGTCTGATTTTGTTCTCTAACAGTCTGAGTAAGGATTCATATCTTGCGGCCACGAGTTCCGGGGTTTCAGTTGTCAAATCATTGCCTGGTATTTAATTTTAATAACTAAAAATTAAACAAAACTGTTATTATATTAAAAGAATAATGAACCAACATTAAACTATTTATTAAACAAATGAATCAACCTCCGATGTAAAGGATTATTGTTTCAATAGGAATGGTATGCTTCCGGAAGAAGTTAATCAATCCTCCGATCCTCCCACCAGGCTTTTCTTTTAATATGACACGTTTATTACCGTGGGTAATAACGTCATTTTTCATTTAAAAAAAAAATTCCATTCTACGCACATAACTGTCGCCAAACAACGAAATAGACATTGCTCGAACAGTTTTATAAATTTAACCTTGACAGCAAGTAACAAAATGGCCAACATAGAAGTGAAAAACGTGGTTTCTTAACATGGAAATAGAAATGTAATTAAACGTGTGTAATTGAACTGAAACGTATATAATGTCAATAATTGTTATACACACAAATTGTTTAATACACATAATTACGGCAAGGAAAAACAATTATATATAATAAGAACAAAAATAGATCTAAATTCATAATTTCATAATTTGGTAACACAAAAATTATCAATAAGTGAATTTAAAATTTGTTGCGTAGAAGTTCGCTTTTATACAGAGTTCTTTTTAAGCGCTTTTTTGCTAGGCGGCTTTTTCAAAACATTTTTTGAAACTAGTTTTCTTACAATTGCAAGTTTTTATTGAATTCTTTTATTGAAAAATTCGTGAGTTACGTCCAGAAAAGTGGCATAGACAGAGAAAAGTTACTAAAGGTTTACTTTTTTATAACTAAAAAATATACGAAGCCACAAAAATAAATGTTAAACGATAACTTTATAAGTTAGCGATATTGATCTGTACTTTTCACAATTTTAGTCATCACGATCTTTTTTGCAATTTAAAATGTTTAAATTTCACTTTTTGCTGCGATTGCATTAGTATTCGTTAATTTTTAGCTAAAATAAAAAACATTTTTTTGTTTTTTTTTTGTAAATTTAAATGTTCACGCGTTAAAGAACTATAGTTCAATTACTGTGCAATGCATATTATTCATTAAATTAAACGAATCAACATTTTTATTAAAATACAGTCTAGTTTGGATGAACAAGATTGATTTGGCCAAGCTTGCAGGAGCCTAAAACAGAGAAATAATTTTACCAATCGAAAATGTAAAAAACTAGTGATAATAAAAAATTGAAATTCACAGATTGGTTTATTCTGGAAGAATAAATGCTTTTTAGGGTTAACTGAAAATGGTCCCAAAGGCAACGATGAATCTTTACAAAACCTACAGAGCATAATAACAAGTAACTACAATGCTTTAGAAAGAAAAGAGGTTAGTTGCATGATGTAAACCAACTGCACGGTGCATCTATTAAGTAGTGCAGTTGAAGTGTACCAAGGTTACCGTTGACGCAAATATAGAAATGTATGGGTAACGCGTTCAGACCAATATTTGGGGATGTGCACGAAACGGGAGATAGCTTTGTTATATATGTTATTTTTGGGAATAAAATTGTCTATTGGAATATGCAAATATTTTCCAGATGCACACATAAATGGATTTTTGGCGATTTTTTAACTTTCTCGTTACCGATGACGCAAATTTGGAAATGTAGGGTTAGCGCGTTCAATCGAATTTTTGAAAATGTGCACAAAACGGGAGAAAGTTTTGTTATATATGGTATTTTTATAAATAAAATTGTCTATCAAAAAATGCAAATATATTTCAGATGCATACATAAATAAATTTTGGCGATTTTTTAACTTTCTCCTTATCGTTGGTATCTTAATATATAGCGATTTTATGATGAAGTTTTTTTTATTGTTTTATGCAATTTTAAATTTGAATAAAGTTAAAATGTTATAAATAACAAATAAAAAACAATAATAAATCTTTTTTCATTTCATTAAACCTTTAAATATTTATTATTTAATCGGTTTTTTCATAATCCGCCTTTTACATATGCTTAATCGTCGCTGAGTTAAAACCGTCGCGAACATTACCTTCGTCCAGCCGACTAATGCTCATTAATTATTTATAACCAAACTACAACAAAACAAAACCAACGTGACTGAATTTCTATGTCACGCACACAAAGACACACACAAAGACACACACACACACACACACACACACACACACACACACACACACACACACATATATATATATATATAGTCAGAATTAGTCAAAGAAGTAGGTAGAGAGTTCAAGAGAAAAGGGCCAGAAAAAGTTTTATTTAACTTAAATATTGTATTATTTATTAAAATGTACGTTCAAGACTTGAGTAAGATAATTAAAACATTGTTAGTCAAATTTTTTAATTAAACTTTTTACAACTATATCTACCAATCTACCTACTGCTTCATTCTTAGCTATTATTAATCACTATTTATATTTATTCAATCTTTTCAGATATGATTTTATCAACCAACAGGTACTTTACTAGGACCGGTAGTTTATATAATTTTCTGCGACGAAAATTGTGAGTTGCGTTTTTTAATTCTGATTTTTTATTTTATGACAGATTTCTAGACATGTAAATATTTAAATAATAATTTAATTGATATTATATATGTTTGCTCAACCAACCCCATATGGTATCCCAATGTGGACCACTATGGGGCTGGTTGAGACAAAAAAATATGTTTTGCAAAACTCTTATATTTAATTGCATTTTTTCGTCTCAACGTACCCCACCCTTCCCTACTGTACGTAATGTTTAAATCTTTTTTAATGTGATATTCGATGGAATGAAAACGTGAGACGTGACCTTTTCAATTTCTTTGGAGTTTTGGGCATCGCTCTTTTCGGCGCTGTAGATTGTATAACCACCCCAGGTCATTGTTTTTGAAATTTGCATTTTTTCTTTTGAGTCATGCCGGGTTTTCGTTGTTTCTGTTCTCTTAGCTGTTGGTAGACATCGTGGTCTTTTCTTGATTTAGATGGAATTCTCAGATATATTTAACCCCAGAGCTGAATAAGCTCCTCTGCATTGACTTCTGCTAAGCTTTTTTCAATGATGATGTTGGATTTTGTACAGCTGTTGCAGGTTTGGTTAGTTAAATTTTTCTCTCCCAGTTTACTGTCTGTTAGTTAAAATTAAAATGCCAATTTGGTTCATTTCCAGCTCTGATCATTTTTTCTGACATATCATTCAATTTAATCTTTTCAACAATATTAATTTCGTTTATTTTGTTGCTGTTCAATTTTCTAAAATGCTTTGAATACATTCAGAGGCAGATTTAGGAAAGCCGTTATCAACAACCAAGAACTATTTTGTTATAATTTTTTGAAAATTCAGGTATATATTGTTTTATCATTTTAATACATTAAAACACAGTTTTTACACACAACAACATCGTTCTTTTTTATAGACACAAAATAGTGCGATAAGCCAGCTAATTTGGGCCACACACAACCAATTTTCAGTTTTTGTCCCTTCCCGTTAGTTGTCACTTGCTTTTGACTTAGTTTCTCTTCTATCCAATCGCATTCTATCTAATTGCTTTTGACTTAGGTTCCCTCCTGTCTAATCTAATGTTTAATCGCATTAATGTAATATTATTTACAACTAATTCGTCAACCATCCATTCTAGCTTTAGTTGACCAAAAGATTGTCTTCAAAATTCCTGCTTATGTCATTAGCTTTTTTAGTTTACATACTATTCAAATAAAAAAAATGATTTGACACCATTTATCTAATCATTCCAACTTCCAGCATTAAAGTTATCAATTCTTAACTGGACTTTTTTTTCTCACATTGCTCAATCAAAGCAATGTTTTACTTAATCGTTTCAATAAATTATTCATCATAATTATAAAAAATTTATACAACTTTCTAAACATCGGCCAAAATTTTTCATAGCGCAACTTATACTTCAACACAACGTTACCACATTACTAAAGGATTCCAGATAGTTTAGGCGTGATGGCCTAGTAGTAAAGGTCGCCCGGTCCTGTTTTGTAGTGACCAGGTTTGAATCTGAAAAAAAGGTACCCACCTATCAAATTCTTTGTGTGATGCGTCGTTTAGCACGTATCATAAACAATGTTTGAGTGTTGTTGATTCCTCTGAATTTGAAAAAGTGTTGTAGACCTTTAAACTTTTTTGTACTTCAGGCGTTAAAAACAATCCACTCACATTTAACGTCATTTAATCTCCAAATATAATTTTACATATAAAAAACAAAGCTATTTAATTTTTAGGTTGGCCACAAAACTAAAATTACACTAATTAATGTATATAATTATAATTACTATTCTTGTCTGTTTTAAACACAGAAAATATCGTGTTTTTGTCATATCTTTAAATTCTTTTTTTTATTTTTTTTTTGCAGCTTAACGGCATTTCAGCACAATGCGGCTATTTTAACGCCATTGGATTATTAGAAACTGATTATTTTGTTGTGACGTCTAGAAAACTTCAAATTCTGTTGATCAAATCTATCTCCTCTACAAATGAAATCAAGACTTCCTGACTTCTATTCTGGAAGAGCAATTCTACATTTGATGGAACCCCGAGTTTCCTTCTGATCTGATCGTATTTTTCACATTCAGTTAATATATGCTGAATAGATAGTTTTTTGTTGCAGGCTTCACAATAAGGTGGCTTTGTTTTGTTGAGGATCTAAGAATGTGTGATTGCCGAGTGTCCTATTTTTAACCTATTGATAACAGACTGAAGATGACGATTTAAATAACTATTTTTGAACTTTTTGTTATTTACTGATGGCATATTTAATTTTAAGAAATTTGATATCTTTAAATATCTTTAAATTCGCGACTTTTGCTTGGAGCTATATTTTGTTTTTGATAAACGCAGGTATATAAAGCAAACAATAACAAGGTAACAAAACTCCAAAAAGTATGAATTATAAATAGTACAATAAATAAAAAAAAATACAACAACATTCAATATACTTGAAGATTTCGTACGAGCTAAAAATGCTTAAAAATATAGAAAAAGGGTATTCCTACCTCTATAAAATAATAAATAAATTGTTTCCACTGCATTATTATCTCGAAATTTCTATATATCAGGTAAAAGTGTTTCTTAATTTAACCACGTTTAATGTGACTAATTTTTGAAGACAATACCCATTGAATTTTTTTACTGTAAATTATCTGCAAATCAATTAGTGTATTTTATACGATATGTAAATATTAAAATATTTCAATGATGGTGATTAATTATAATTAGAAAGTGTATTCAATAAATATTTTGTTGCAGAGTTCATTTAATTTAAGTTTTTTCCGTACCACGTTATTTTTCCTTTTCATAAATTATATAATATTATATCTATTGTTTCTGCCTAATTTTAGCATAACGAGCATAATTTAAGATTGGTTCAAAATAATTTTCGGTTTCGCAAACTTTTGTCCGGATGCTTTCTCAATGTGGCGATTTATTTTTCTATTGTTTTGTTGATGTCACAATAAATTTGATAATATGTAAATTTATATACACATAGATGTTTGCAATATATAAATAGCTGATGTTTCTTTTTTTCGTTGAATGAAGGCATGATCGAGAATGGCGCGATACAGACAAAGCGTAAAATTTCCACTTCAAGTGCATCAACTATCATCGAAAGAGATTTCTCACGGTTCGCTCATTCCAAACAACAGATTACGAGAGAAACCCTTTTTCGAAAATTATATAAAAACATTGGAAATAACGAGCAGACATGTTATAACTATACTTTGCGGCCTAGAGGTGATGGATTATTAGGTAGATATAGGCTAAGATTGACAAATTTGACCTCTGGGAGTTTGAAAAATTTTAGAGAAAATAATTTTTTTTCTTTAGGCCAAATTAACGTCGATGATAAAGCAATAAATTACTTGAGTTCAAATAATTTGAGTGTCCAATCGAACGTTTTTTCGATGTCCACCACAGATTATCATGACAACAGCCCAAGGACCGCTCCAGTGCAATTATCTAACTTCCGTACCACTATGTGCACAGCATGTGCCGGTCATAAAGCTAAATACGCAAACAACAAATTTGATTACAGTTTTTCAAATATAAAATCATTTTCCATCCCCAAAATATCTGTGCGGACAAGTCCATTACTAATTTCTACTTGCATGCCTGTTGGACGTCATAGCATAGAAGCCGAGAAATTTCCAACTGAAAATCATATCGAAACAAATTTAAATAATGTAAAAAAAACCGTATCTCGTTGCACAGTTCACAAAAATAATGCTGTTGGCAATGATGACAAAATGTTTTCTGAAAAATGTGAAGAAAATTCAAATCCTGTAATTATCAATAAACTAGCAAATGACGATCAATTAAAAAATTATATGAACAGCAATAATATAAAAAAAATACTTAATTCTAACATACACAACAATAAAGTTGTGGCAACAAATTTACTTGAGAAAAACACAAAGAAAAGTAAAAGCCAAAAACGTTATTTAAAAAAACAAATGAAAAAAGCTAAGACTGAACATAGAAATATTTCTAATTTTAAAGATAGAACAAAAGTTATAAAGGGAAAACGAAAAAAAACAAAATCAAGGAAAAGATTATCCGAAAGAGTTTTATCAAAATCTTCATCAAAACATTTACAAAAATTAAAAATGAATAATGATCAAAAGGGTTCCGACAAAGAAAAACGGACATATGGTCATTTAGTCAATCACGTTGGCTCAATAAGTGATTTGTTATCAAAAGATTTTCTTCAAATCCACAAACTGCTCAACGAAATTGAAAATAAACGCGAATTTAAACAAGTTAAGGTCACACAAATGCTTTCTCACGATCCAGGAAGAATGTTATTAAAAGACATGGATGATATTGATTCTCTGCTTGATGACATGTACGATTTCAGGGATCATAAATGTGCTGTATTAAATAAAATCATGACAATGCAGGCACGAAAGGATAAAGAGATGGCAAAACTGCAAACTGATTGGAACAAGGCGGCCAACAATAACAGAAATCAACACAACGACAAAGATAATTTTAGTCAAATTAATAACAATAATATTCTAGATGAAGTGGAGTGGGAATGTAGAAAAAACGCTGAGGAGCTTAATCAAGTTTTTTATTTTGTAGATAACATTAGACGAAACAAAATGTTTTTGCTCCAAATAGAGAAAAATAAAATAATGGATAAACAAACCAACAATGAAACTTACTGGTACAAAAAAACACAAAAGAACTTGGAGAAACCAGGCAAAATAAAAGAAAAATATATTACACAGTTAAGTACTAACTCCGATTTTAACAATCAAATAAATTTTAATCTAAATAAATATTCAGACGAAAAAGTTAGTGAACGAAAAGAATGTCACCATGATAAATATTCTGAGTCAAATAACCAATCCGTAAATAAAGCTCTCTATCAGCAAAATTTAAAGAATTCCTTACAAAAAGAAAAACCTGAAAGTAGTCATGAAAAGCATTTCGTAAAAATGTCTGATTTTACATGCCAGTGCAAATCAAGTGTTGATACGGGTGTCGACGAAAGCTATTTAAAACAGGCACTTGAATTTTATAATATTTGGGCGAAGCCATTAGAACTTACTGAAACATTTACTGATTGTTTTTTCGAGCGAATAACTATGATTTCTCCAAATAACAATAATTGTAACGAAATACTTCTTACTGTATCAAAAGAGAGTCTGATTAAAAATGTTGCACTCACACCGAACAGACCCACAACGCAAACGACATGTACAGCAAAAGACGAACAAAAAACAGGCGAATGTTCAACATGTAGCGAATAT